AGCTCCAACCTTGCCCTCCAAGCCAGGGGCTTCTTGTCCCCTCTCCTACCCTCCCAAATCGCAGCCCTGCTGATGGGAGTGGGAGGTGGGTAACGCTGGGGCTGCAGGGCCTGAGGGCAGAGCGCGAGGCTTGGGCATGTGCCCCAAAAAACCCCGTCTAGCACCAAGGGATGGCCTAGCCCGCCCCTCCAAAGTGGTGGCATCTTGCAGGCTTCTCTGTGCTGGGTTTGCAAAGGTGTTCGCTCCCAAACAGGACGGGTCCAAGTCCACGTCATGGGATGGAGACGGCTAAGTCCATTCTCCGCTCTGCAGTGGATGAAAATAGGCTGATATTTGAAGGCAAATATCCTTCAGGGCAGAGGACAGGACCCCGTGGCGCTTCCCGCTGCAAGGGGACCATTACAGCCCCTAAAACAGCACTAAATGGGAAAGCCCTGTGTGCAGGGATCCAGGAAGAGGGGGCTCAGCTCCTGCCCAGGCTAATCGTAAACACAAACGAAACAGAACCAAGTGGGGACAGAGCCAAGTTGGGACTAGACACCAGTGCCATTAATACTTCCTCCTCCTGTGCTGCTGAGGCTGGCCCCTCCACGTGGCCATCGCTTCGAAGGCCTGACCTCGATGTCTTTTCTCATTTTGTGATAATTTACTGTGCTCCGAGCTGCCGTAAATCGCAGTGATACGGGTGGGTGACTGACAGCGCGTGGCAGCCCTGCTGGGCCTTCGTGCGCCAAGGCATCTTGGAGGCCGCTTCTTGCTCATGATCCGAGCTTGCAAATTTATTTGGCCAATGCACAGAAGACATCCGTGTCCCCCTTAATTCCTTGAGTAAGAGGGATATTTTTAATTGCAGAGGGAGATGTAATGGGGAGGGTTTTGTGTGTCTGCGTTCTGCGTGGTGCTGTGGGGATAATGGCGGCCGCTCGCCCTCCCTTCTCCCCGCAGGCCTGCGACGGGCCGACTCCGTCCAAGCGCCGCTGCCGCCGCCACCGGCCAACCCCGCTCCTGCCATGGCGGCA